TGGGGGCGGGCATTATCATGGCGATACCCTTGGTTATCACGATAGTGTCCCTTACTCCTTTTACTAAAATGAAACTGGTGAGGATGAAAATTTTTCCTTTTACCTTGAGGTTGATATGTCTGTTGACTTAGCGAAGTATTAAGTAAGGCAGTGGAAGGCACCGTTGCCGTTTGGAAGGTCGAGGCCTTCCCATTTGGTTGGATATGGCTTCCACTCCCTACTCGCTGATAAGGGGTGGCTGTGGGGGGTTTCCCTTGATATGTCATTGCCTCGGCAGAGGCATGGTTGTAAGCATGTGCCATCACCTCAGAGTAAGTCTTCCAAATGTTGGCATTGATCATGTACTTAAAGAAATAGTCACATAGTCCTGCTGTGAAGGCTTTGAGGGCAGTTTTATCGTCTGCCTCGGCACAACAGGAATACTTATGGTTGAAGCGGCCAGCATACATACGTAATGACTCATCTGGCTTCTGGCGAATAGTGTACAAGCCATCCTCAGAGTGCAAGCGATCGGTCTGGAAAATGTGTTGAGAAACAAACAGTTTCCTCAATTCCTCAAATGAGTCTACCATCTCAGGTGGAAGATGATAATACCAGTTTAGAGCTCCGCCAGAGAAGGTGGAGGGGAAGAAAAGACATTGCTCTTCGTCGGTGTGCATCCGGTATGCCATGGTGGACTCAAAGAGGTTAAGGTGTTCAATCGGGTCCTCATTTCCAGTATAGAGTTGCAAGCCAAGCTTCCGCTTTGTCTTTACTTGGAGGAGGTGTCGAGGATCCTCCTTATAAGAGGGCCAGGCCTAGGTTGGTTTCAATCAGGTATCTCAACTTGTCGTTCGGCCTTCAACTTGTTTACTTCCTTAAGGAGTTGTAGGACAAGAGAGTCCTGAATGGAGTCATGTACCACTAGAGCTTTCTTTCATAAGTCTCTATCTCCTCTTATAAGTAGGAAGATTTGATCAAGAGCATGTGATTTTTTCCTGGACTCGCCGTACTGACTTCCAAGGTATGTCTGTTAGAACATCTCTGAGTCCCCTATACCTTCGTGTTTCTCTAGGACTTGTTGCCCCTTCCCCAAATTGGTAGTCGGCCTGGGACATAGGAGGGGACCGATTCTTTCAGAGACCATTGGGTCATTGATCTTCGAGCTTATATGGATGAGATTGTCTCAACGTTGCTTTAAGAAGTCTCGACAGTCGCGAAAGACGGCTTTTGATCCTTCCACTCCTTCTGTAAGGAGGTGTCTTCCCCCACTTCTCCTACTTCGGGTTGAAGCAGCTGGGTTGAGAGAAGTCTCATGTTGATCAATGTTTTGATGATTAGCTCGCTCCTCATCAGGGATACCCATGTCAAAAGAAGGTGATCCTCCGTGTTGGAGGGCACCCAGATGATGGTTAATGTCTACAGGGGTAACGAGCTCGCGTGTTTGAGTACGCCTAGTTACGTGAAGCGTCTCAAAGAGCTTCTCATACTGCTCCTAGAAGACCTCATTCCTCATTGCTATCTTGTTATTCTGAGCTTCTAGCACATCGACTTTAGCTTGAAAAGCAACCCTCTTTTCTTCCTTCTTTCGTTACCTCGCACCAAGTGCAAGAGGGGTGTCATTCTGCATGTTGTGGCTTCCTTCGTTCCCCATGTTGGAGAGGGATGCCTGGTCAAAAGAAAGTGTACGAATGGTGGAAACCACCTTGACAAAGCTAAAGAGAGTGGGAATAAGTGTCGTTCCCACAGACGGCACCAAATGTTGATGCACAAAATTAGTGAGGACTTTGGTACAACATAAAGTGTTAAGTTTGTGACATTTGCTAGATTGCTCCGGTCACTAGGGTGGATAAGTATGTAAATGGATAGGGACAGGGAAGCAAACACAAGATGTACATGGTTAACCCAGATTGGCTACGTCCACGGAGTAGAGGAGTTCTCATTAATTGTGAAGGGTTTACACAAGTACATACGTTCAAGCTCTCCTTTAGTGAGTACTAGTGAATGATTTAGTACAAATGACATTAGGAAATATTGTGAGAGAATTATCTCTATTTATAGAAGAGAGTTTCTAGTTTCATTCTGACATTGACACGTGTCGTGTTGTGATTGGCTTCTGATGTTGACACGTGTCGTGTTGTGATTGCCTTCTGATGTCGACACGTGTCGCGCTGTGATTGGCTCCTGGTTGGAGGGAAACTCTTCTGGGTCCTTAAAGGTATAACGTTGACCGGTGCTCAGTAGTTTTGGGATTGGTCAAGTATGGTACAAACAAAATTAATGAAGGAATGTATAACGAAAGGGACAAAGTTGGTTCAAGCTATTGCGAATAGTCTTTTCAACATACCTTAAATTGAAGGCATAGACAGTGCCATTGTGCAGCTATTGCTTCCCAAAACTAAACTGCCAAGATAGAAGCATGTAAGTCATTCATCTTAGTTTACGATTCTCCAACGATGTTTTTGATAGGTTTGATCATGTATATGAGCATTTGATACTGAATACATGTACAGAGCTTCACAGTTGAAAGAAGTGAAATGGTAGTTTTAGGTAATTGTCGAGATTTTTGTTAATCTCCTTTTGTTGTGCTGCCAATTTATGGTTCCTATCATGGAAATTGGTTAACTAAAATGTCAGTGTATGCAAAAACGATGTTAATCACTACTAAATAAAACAGTTTGCGCGACAAGGGAGATTTTGTCACGCAAATCATTATAGGGTCGCATAAAAACTATGATGACCAGAAAATCGTCGCATGTATTTTGTCGCGCAAAGGTCGTGAAAAAAGACATTGCGCGATGAAAATTTTAAAACTCGTTGCGTAATTTTGTTTTGCGCGACGCTTTACTACTCGTTGAGCTAAAGTTATACGGACGAAGGTTTTCGTCGTACTATATAAAAGGGTACAAGTACGATTTGTGACTACTTCATCTCGAAAAGTTTGCGCGATGAAAAATGTAAGAGGCGCATGGTAATGCACAACGAAGTTATAAGATGCGCTTAATTTTGCACGACGATTGTTCGTCGTCGCGCAAGTGTAGTTTTTATTAAAAAAATATAGAATAAAAGGAAAAATTTTAAAAACAAATTTCATACTAATGACAAAAAAAAAAGCAAATTAATGAATAAAAATGTACGTACAAATATAAAGTTTTAAAAGAAAGCAGGAAAAATCTATAGGAATGTCGTTCGAAGGATCTTGCTGCTAGTTAGGGACGGGGTCGGAGGTTGACAGGCCTGATTGCTATGCTTGCTTGGTGTGGAAGGGCTGTGAGGGCGATGGTGCAAAAAAACCTGGGAGATGTATTCCGGAGGAATTGAGGGCTTGTACAAGCATCCACATTTGAGACTTGTACGATGCCAGCTCACTCGTTAGGCCAACAACTTCTAGCATCAAATCCGTAACCTGGCCCTTTGACTGCAATGATGACGAGGCTCTACTCTCCCACCGCCTAGCATTTCCCATCCCCCGACAATAAGTCCCTGGCCTCCGACTGAAATTCTGGTCCAATGTCTCTGTGACGATGTGAAACCCTGCATCCTCAAGGGGGTCCAGAGACTCAATCGGTGTGTCCGAAGGAAGCTGGGAGGCGAACTCTTAAAGCACCGACTAACTTTTCTCCACCATAGTCGCCTGTGAAAAAAAAACATGGATTATTAATAGAAAACAATTTGAAATAATTAGTATAAATGTTGAATGCATAAGAAATTACTTACATGAAAGGACTCGGTCAACTCATTCCCAGGCCGAACATAAACGTCAGCAAAGACGTCGAAAAAGATAAGGAAAATGTTAGTAAGAAAAAAAATTATTAGTGAAATTTTAAAATTGGAAGTGAAAGATGTAATATATACCTTCCATCGTGCCTTCATCCTATAGGAGAAAGGCCTCGAACTCGAATGGTGGAGAAGAGTCTTCTTCTCCCGATTAATCTTGTTCGCCTTCGCCTTCTTCTGTTATACAAAAAATAAACGTATTAGTTGTAATACTTAAAGAAAATTTAAAAAATAATAATAAACATTAGTAAAAATTAAAAAAAGTAAAATGAAAGAAGTCATAATTAAAAACGCACCACATAGCCCAGCTCCTGAAAATGACCGCAAAGCCAAACCCAACTATCTTGTCGGTTCTCCAACTCCTTCAGACAACCCTCCTCGAAAGCGACCAACTGATCATCATATTGCTGGAAATATTGGTGCAGGTCACTCTTCCACTGCTTGTAGTGTAACATCCTACATCGCCCAGGGAAGTGGATCATGTAAGCCTTATATGTATATTCCTATATCTACCTAGCATGAGGCCTTTTGGAAGCTCACTGGCTTCGAGTTCCATCGAAACTCCGAAGTTAAGCGAGTTCGCGCGAGAGCATTCCCAGGATGGGTGACCCACCAGGAAGTTCTAGTGAGAGTTCCCAGAAACAAAATCTTGAGGGCGTGGTCGGGGCCCAAAGCAGATAATATCGTGCTACGGCGGAGTCGAGCCCGGGATGTGGTCAGGGCTCGGGCCAGGATGTGACAATTTGGTATCAAAGCCAATCCTTTGGGGGAAGTATGCCGATGAGGATGTCGAGCCCCTAAAGGGGATGGATTGTAACATCCTACATCACCCAAGGAAATAGATCTTGTAAGCCTTATATGTATATTCCCATCTCTACCTAGCACGAGGCTTTTTAGGAGCTCACTGGCTTCGGGTTCCATTGGAACTCCGAAGTTAAGCGAGTTCGCGCGAGAGCATTCCCAAGATGAGTGACCCACTAGGAAGTTCTCATGAGAGTTCCCAGAAACAAAACCGTGAAGGCGTGGTCGGGGTCCAAAGCGGACAATATTGTGCTACGGCGGATTCTAGCACTGTAAGAGTTCAGTTTCCAGTATGTGCCCCAAAGGGCAATAAAAGGGCAGGCAATTGCAAACTTTTTATCCGAGCACCAAGAATCCCAATAAGAACTTGTCAACATCCCAGGAACTCTGGAAGTGGCCAGCCTTTGGATTCCACCAAGTAAAGATCACTTGGGCAAGGAATAATGGATTCAGCAAGAAGTAAGGAGAATAACCAGTCTATGGATGACTCCTTAGAGGTTCTATTTTGATGGGTCATGCACTAACATGCTGCCAGAGCTAGAATAGTCATCATTGATCCAAAGGAAATTCAACATTGTTATTCATTCCTTTTGGATTATCAAGATACTACCAACAATAGGGCAGAGTACGAGGCATTGATAATCGAGTTGGAAATCCTGATGGAGTTGGGGGCAACTGAAGTTGAAGTGTTTGATGATTCAGAGTTGGTGATTAATCAGTTGAATGGAGACAACAAGTGCAGACATATCATAATGGCAGGTTATTATTTGGTAGCCACTCTATTGTTGAGTTATTGGGGTATTGAAGTATCAATTAATCATGTTCCCAGAGAAGCAAATTTAATTGCCAATGAGATGGCACAGTTGGCCTCTAGAGCACAGATTCAGGAAAGAAAGTTCGAAGTGAATGTGGAGATACCAAGAAGAAATCTACTTTCTATCTTTGAGAGAGGGTTCAGCCTAGATAGAATGACCAAGGCTGAGATAGAAAACTGGAGATCACTCATCACTCAGTACTTGAAAGACCCTTCTTCTCCTACAAATAAAAAGATCAGGCATCAAGCAACTAAGTTTGTGATGTAGGACAAAACCTTGCTAAGAAAGACTCCAGATGAGCTTGTGTTGAAATACTTAGGCTTGGAAGAGTCAATTAAGGTAATGGCTGAAGTGCATGAAGGCATCGGTGGAGCACATCAAGCTGGAACCAAAATGAGGTGGTTGTTGTGAAGGTATGGTTACTTTTGGCCCGACATGGAAAAAGATTATAAAGCTTATGCCAAAAGTTGTGAAGAATGTCAAAAACATGGACCTCTCCAACACATACCCTCAGTACCCTTGAATCTAGTAATGAAGCCTTGGCCTTTCAAAGGATAGGCAATGGACTTCATCAGGCAAATTTACCCAGCTTCCAGCAAGGGACACACCTTCATAATTGTGGCAACTAAGTACTTTACCAAGTGGGTATAAGCTTCAGCTGTGAAGACTATCACTTCAGTTGCTGTGAAGAAATTCATTGAAACGAAGATCTTACACAGATATGACGTGATCGAGATAATTATAATAGATTGAGGGCCATCTTTTATCTCGAAAAAAGTGGAGGAATTTGCAAACAAGTTCAAGATAAAGATGATCGAGTCTAGTCCTTATTATCCTCGATCAAATGGTCAAGTAGAAGCTAGCAATAAGATCTTGGTGAATATTATTAAGAGAATTGTGGCAGATAGTCCAGAGAGATGGCATGAGAAGTTAGGAGATACTCTTTGGGCTTATAGAACCTTAAAGAGAGTAGGAACTAGGACCACCCCTTATGCCTTGCCTTCGGGCAAAATGATGTGCTCCCTATGGAAATCAGTGTAAGTTCTATAAGACTTCAAAACCAGTTTAGTCTGCATAGTGAGGAATATATCCATTCCATGTGTCAAGGGATTAAAGATTTGGATATGGCCCGAATTAAAGCTCTAAACAAGATCCAAGAGGGGAAGTGAGTTGTTGCTCGAGCTTATAACAAGAAAGTGAAATTGAAAACTTTCAAGGAATGAGAGTTCGTCTGGAAGGCAGTTCTACCCTTGAGAGCTCAAGTTAGAGGTTTTGGGAAGTGGAGTCCCACTTGGGAAGACCCTTTTATCATCAATAAAGTGTTAGATAAATGAGGCTACTACTTGGCGGATTTAGAGGGAAGCTTGCAAAGACATCCAGTTAGTGCTAAGTTTTTAAAAAGATATCACCCAACTTTGTGGGATGTTAGAGACTGTTACATTAGTAAAGTATTAACATTGGAAGAGGTGTTGGACCTTTTTGAGACAATTAGATATAAATAAACAAGTCAAAGTAAAACAAAGAGGATCTTTCATTCATAATGGAAAAGGTTACAAAAGTTCCTAGTTTAACAAAGTTACATCCCTAGCTAATGCAGTTATCCAAGAGTGATAAGTATGCATGATGGCGAAAATTCAGCATGGCTCCTCTAGGGCAATGTTGTTGTTGGCTAGTTGGGCCTCAGAGTTCTCCACCTCTTGGTTAACCCTCTTTACCTCTTTGATTTTCTAGTAAAGCTTGCTCGAAAGGGTCATTTGCTCGGCCTTCAAAGCAAAGAGCTGCTCCTCCAACTTCTGGATCTCGGTAGCAACCACCATAATGCGATCCTCCATGGCCGAGCCCTCATTCACAAGTTGCTGCAGAGAAGTTGAAGTCCTGAGGTGCTTCTCCTTATAGCACTTCACTCAGTTTGCTTGCCTCTCTGCCCGAAAGTGTTGATCCTTCAGAGCCCTCAAGTTCTCGAAGAATGAGAGAAATAACTCATATTGAACCTTCGACATCTGCTGAGCCTTATACAACTCAATCAGAGCCTTCTCAGCTTTTTGAAGTGCCTTAAGGCTGAAGGAAGTCATGAAGTCCATTTGCATCCACTACTTGAAGACTCGGTGCAGATTCTGGAGATGTTGAGGCTCAAAAAGGCACCTTGAAGACCTCAGCTTGGTCTTTATTTGACCGAACTCTCTGACTAGTTCAGGCAATGAGGCCGTGGTGGGAATGGAGGCAAAAAGAGGGGGCACTACCCCAACACCCCCGAAGGCAACAGCGACGGAAGCAGCTTCAGTTGAAATGGAAGGAAGAGACCTAAAAGAGGATACGGCAGTGGCATCAGTCTTCTTAGGCTGATGGATGTAGATCCCTGTGACCTAGAGGCTTTGGGAGGTCGAGGGAGGACCACCTTGCGCGCTAAAGGCCGAGGAGACTTGCATGAGCCCTCGCCAGAAGCCTATTGTAAACAGAGAAAAGAATGAGTAGTTTATACTTAAACCAAAGAAAGCGCAGAAGTGTAAAGACTTGTATACCGGAGCTGACCTTTGAGCTTTAGGTTGAAAGGCCTCTGTGGTTGTAGCTGCCTTGGGAGAAGCAGGCGGGCTGGCCTGAAAATGAGCTTGAGGAGCCCTCGAGCTAGTCACCTTTGAGACCATAGGTATCTTAGGGACTATTGGCTCCCTAAAAGCTAGCAGTAGTTGGTTGGTGTCCTTATGCACTGGAGAAGACTAGAAAAGGGCAGAACAAATTATAAGTCAAGGAAAGACTTAGAAGAAAATTCAGAAGGTTTCATGGAAAAAAGAAAACAAATTTACTGAGGTACTATCATCCTCCACGCAATGCAACAACTCCCTAGTTGTTGGATTAAACTGGGAAGTGAGAGTCAACACCATGGCGAGAAAAGGAATGGAAAAGGTAGAGGGTGAGGTTTGCCCGACTTGAGGCGTAGAAGCACCACCTTTTGCCTAAAAAAGAACAGAAATGAACATTAACTTTTGAAACTTACAAAATCACAAAATTAACCAGGAATGAGAAAAAAGTATACCTCTGAGGGCTTGGCCCGAGAATGAGGAAAGCACACTGATCGAGCAAGAGGAGAATAAGGCTCGAGCCGAAAGGTCCCATCTGCTCTGGTGTTCTATTTCAAGAAAGCAATAGAGAATCAGCTAAAGTGTTAAGGGAAGAAAATTTCAAAATTAACCTAGTACTCTAAGATTGAAAGTTATACCTTCAATTCCTCGAGGATCTTGGCAAGGACTTCCTTATCCTCTTACTAGACTTCTCTGCCTGATTGCCCATCTTTGGAGATGGGGGCATGCTTCTTAGCAGTTAGAGGCCCTGATTACCAATAAAAGGGAAAAATTAGCTTGGAAATCAGAAAAATCAAAGAAAGGCAAACTAAGAATAAGTTACTTACTAGAGGACTTCTGTTTCTTTCTGCCCATTTACTGGATGGGCAGAGGAAGTTTTGAGGCCTGAGAAGTTTGAGCTCTGGTCCTCTTCTTAGTAGGAATACCTATCGGGCCAGGCAAAGCTAGTTGAGCTTGAGGCCCCTCCTCGGGCTCAGATTCCGAATATTCTACAACAGTCGCCCCTGCTTGCCGAGAAGCCCTTGTCTCCACTTCAGGTCCAGCTTCAACCTTTGAATCGTTGAAGAGCTCGGAAATGTCTCCAGCGTCCCCAACAACTCGACTAGACCCTACTTCCTGCCTTGCTACCTCAGCAGCAACCTCTTGAAGAACCAAAGCATCTGTACCTTCTTCTTCTAGCCTAACATCCACTCCTTCAGTGTTGTCTTGGGCTGCAAGACCAAAATAGGAGTTAGCAAACAATAGCGTGCAAATGACTAGTGATACGTGGTGTACCACTCCATGTTCCGATCACAATGTAAGTAAGATATATGATTTATGTGTTTATTGGATAACCATCTAAACTAAACGATTTCAGATTAGATAATACTTGCATTCCTATGTTTGGGGATGAGCTCATTCTCCTTTGTGAATAACGTATCTTGATCGTATAAATTTCATAATTTGAAGTGTTCAATTTCTTAATCTTCATTTAAAGATCATCCATACAAAAAATCATTTTAATCGGAATCATTTAGTCATTAAAATGTATAGAACAAATCGACAGTATAGATACTAAGCAACATGTTCATGATGAACTGTCCATTTATTTGATACATTTAGATGACCAAACGATCTCCAATTTGAATATTTAAACCAAATTTGCAAGCCAAATGATGTGTCACCAACAGAAAATTTGCACGTTCATCAGCATTTAAGTAATAATCCAATCATTAACAACCACATGATTTAGTTCATAAAATTTGCTTTAAAGTTTTAGTCTACCTAGCATTACCCTCTATTTTTTCAGAGTGATCTTCAACTAATGATTATTAAATAAAACGATTTCGATAATTGATTTTATTCGATAAAAATACATTATCACAAATGGTGATATGTGCATACATTGGAGACCTTTCAGGTTTAATTATCTTTTTACAAAAATAATCTTTTATAGACTCACTTTAAAACAGACGATTTAAATTGTTTTTTTCTTTTTTTGGTAAACTGAAAATAGTATTTCAAGGCAAAAGTCAACAAAGTACCCACAAGAGGCCCAATTACAAGATTAACACAAAGCAAAAGTGGACCCAAACCAAAGCCCAAAGATAACTAAATACAAGCGCAAACGGACCACCAAAGTGAAAGAAAAAAGAGCCCAAAAGATCAAAAGAAACCCTAGCCTTTTGCTTGCACCGCCTCTGCTACAGTGAACCAACACTAGAAGCCAGCCTGCATGCCTCCAACTGACAAACGCCTATCCAACCGCATCATTCTCACGCAAGCACCTGTTCGAGCTCAGCCACAAAGGAAGAAACAAGCCCCAAAGGGGAAGAAGCCCGTGGCAAGACCTGAGCAACGCTGCCAACAATGGCAGCAAACAGTGGGAAAGTGGTGGTGTGGTGAACACCCGATCTAGTGAGAACACCAGAACACTACACACTCTCCCGGGTAGCCGCAACACATCGCGCGGTAAACCGTGACTGCCGATAGAAGCGGAGATGGTCAAAGAAGACGAACGTCGTGGGGGTGTGAGGGACAATCCAAATCGGGGTGAGGAGCAGAGGGAGAAAGCAAAATCAGGGAAGAAAAGAGGAGACAAAGGGGAGGAGGAAGGGACTTCCACGCCCCCAGCAATAGCTAGGGACTGCGGCTCTGGATTTTGGCAAGATTAGAGACACACACAGCAGTAAGAATGGACTCTCAGAGAGAGAGAGAGAGAGAGAGAGAAAATTAGCCTTATGTCTGATTTCTCACCTCACCAATATTAGAACACAGACGATTTAAATTATCATGCAATATAAATACAGACCAGTATTGCACCAACAATTATGGTTACTTCCCTCGCACGTAGCAGTCATTCAGAGAGAGATGGTCATCCACGGCCACGCACTGTCTCTCGATCCGAACACGCCGATCTCACTTAATCAAAACAAGATTAAGGCCATAACTCCAATTAATTAACTCTCTTTAATCCTCATTTTAATCTAACTAGTTTCCCCTACCAACCATGTCGTCCCTCGACTCCTTTCCCAACGCCGACGAATCCCACGACCCCCACCGCCCAGCCCTTCGACGACGATGCCTACATGGGCTACGACCCCGGCCTCCCTTCCCAAAATTACGACTCCTCCTTCAACACCGCTACCCACGACGACGACGACTTCTCCTCCTCCGCCGTCGACCCTCCCCCTCCTCTCCACTCTGGTTTCCAGGACGACGTCGTTCTCCCCGGTGGTGACAACAGCGCCAACGTTAATCAGCAGCAGCACTCCCCCGAGGTATACGGCTTCGGCGTTTCCACTCCTAACCCGGAATTCGTGTCACCTTTTGATTCGGCGGTGCCCGAGGACAATGGCGTAGGCGGTGGCGGCGATGGTGATGACGGGGACATTTTCGCCTCTAGTGAGCCGGTGCTGCCTCCGCCGGAGGAGATGCGAGAGGAAGGCTTTGCTCGCCGTGAGTGGCGTCGGTGAGCTCAGATCCTAATTTGTTGGCTTGAATTCATACTATTTACTTGCAAAACTTCTGCTAATTATGACACGATGAAATTAACTATTTGATTAGGTTGTATTTAAAATGTGTTTAAAGATTAATAATGTTGTGCAATGTGCATGCATGGGATTCAGGGGCTTAATAACATCTAGTTTAATTTGATTTCTGTATCTGTGATTCTGTGCTCATTACCTTTTGTTCTTAGTTTGGGGTCTGAATTAATGACGTTGGGATTTGTCCTTGTGTTTGATAATTGGGTTATGCCTGTAAACCGCATTTACTGTGTCTGAGTATTGTGTGGGTGTAAATTTGAAATGGGGAGAGAGGACGTGCTCGTACGGTTCAAAGAAGGGTATGATCAACTCGTTGATTGTTGGGAACTTTAAACTGAGCTTTGATCTTGACTGAATCCTTGCATAAGTTGTTGAATTTTTTCGTTAAGCTGATTCCGATCGTTGCTATGGGAATGAATGGCAAGTCACAGACCGCCATAACTAAGATGTGAATTTGAATTTCTGTGCAGCTGTACCTGGCCAACCAAGAGAAGTTCCACAAAGAAGCTGACAAACATTACTGGAAAGCAATAGCAGAGCTGATTCCTCGCGGGGTTCCTAATATTGAGAAGAAGAGAGGGAAGAAAGATCCTGACAAGAAGCCCTCAATCGTTGTCATCCAGGGCCCAAAACCTGGTAAACCGACTGATCTTTCAAGGATGCGGCAGATTTTCCTGAAGCTGAAACAGAACCCTCCACCACACATGATGCCGTGCCAAAGATGTCAAGGATGCAAAGGGAGGAAATGATGCAAATGATGTAAAAGATGCAAAGGGAGGAAATGATGCAAAGGATGCCAAGGAAGGAGGAAAAGACGCAAAGGAAGCAAAGGAAGGAAAGGATGCGAAGAATGGAAAAACTAATTCACCAACCGCAGCTGGAGCTGCAGGTGCAAGCGCACCTGTTTCACCTGCCAAAGACGTTGCTGCGAATGGTACTCCCGACTTATCAAAACCAGAGGCTCCTGCTCAACCAGAGGGTGAGCAACATTCGGAAACAACGCCAGATCCTACCGAGTAATGACCCTTCATATTTTTTTATTCTTTACATTATATTTGAGTCTGCTGCTTAGAAGCTGCCAACGAAGAATAAACACAATCATTTGTCGATGATCCAGAGTCTGCAGCCTAACTTGCTCGAGGGTTTCGTAGTCTTAGTTTGTAAGCAAAACCACCTCTATTGAATTCAATGTTTTCACATTTATACTTTAGCCTTTTGAAATTACACATGCTCTTTCGTTTACACACAATTCATGGAGTAAGAACCAATTTTGTCCTCGCAATAATTATCAAACTATCAATTACATCACTGCTTTATTTCACAAGAAAAATAAGCAAATAAATACAAACTCAAAGAGTTTCATTATTTCGTAACTTTGCCTGCAGTCACAGAAGCCTTTGTTTGTTTTTAGGTGCTTGGGTGAACATTGACCAATTGGAAGGTTACTAATTCGGTTTGTAGTAGGCGAGAATACCATATACAGTCTGCAGGACGGTAAGAATGAGAGCAAGGATGACCGCATTTGAGAAAAGTGACAAGATTGACTTCGGATTGTATAGATAATCCCTTTTGATCCTTGCAAGCCAACGCCTTAGCCAGCGACGATGGTAACATTCATTCACTTGCCGGGCGAGGGAAGAGTAAAAGAAATTTATGCGTTCAGTGCTATAGCGAAGCCTATTGAAGAAACAAACAGTGTCCTCCTCGCTCAACTCGGTGTCTATAATTCCTTTCTGAATGAGAGAGTCTAAATCTTTGGCAGACTTGATAAGCTGATTCAATAGCATGGCGTAAGACAAAATGGGACATTTGTCAAAGTTGTCCAGACACTGTTCGTAGGCTATGAGGTTTCTGAACAGGGATTCTGTGTTGGATCGAATCATCACATATGGAATTTCCATCACTCCATTTTCCAAGTTGAAGGTTATGTCCGACAGATCTCTCTCATTGGATGCACTTTGAAATTTGACTCCAATTTCCTCGAGAAGTGTCACTGAGGGAATAGGAGTCCAATCTACATCATAAGACCTTGTGTTCAGCAATGATCCAACAAGCGAATTTCTTACTGCGTCAAGTAAATTTTTCATGACACATTTCTCTAAGGGATTATGCTTCATTCCGGAAAGGCCCTTAGTAAGTTGATATAGAGAAACCTCTTGTGATGTTTTTGTGAGGTTGAATAAACAGTCGAGAACTTGCCACGGAAGCTGGTTTTCAAGCAGCAACAAGTCGTTTTTAAATGTGGAGAACCACCCTGGCACACGGAAACTTGGCCTGCGGAGAAGTTCTAAAATATAGCAACCATCGACCACCATCATTTCTACAAAATTATCGCTGCTCAGATCAAACTTTTCGTCATAGCAGTTGCGAAGAAACTCTTCTCTGCTTCTAATTTCTTTGACAAACTTCCCCAGACTGGTATCTGGAGTTGGTTTGCGGTCGAGGAGGGAACGCAAATACCGTAGCTTAGTTTGTTCCATGCCTTGAAACTTTATTCTTTGGTGGTGATACGGCCCGATTGAAACCACTTGTGGGGAAAAAGCATTTTCATTCTCCCTGAAATGTTTAGTAGGGACTCTAAATACGCAAGTATGAACTGGCTCTGTTGATTTCTTGGGAAGCTTTTTTTCAATCGAGGACGCTAATTCGTCTTCAATTTCTTCGTTTCCGCTCCAACTTTGGTTACCCACATGACTTATTTCTCTCTCACTTCTCTGAATTACGGAGTCATCAGCTTTTGTGTTGCTCTCACCGGCTGAGTCTGTCATCGTCAACTCTTTTCAACTTCAAATGCGACTCGCTTACTCTAGTTTGTATTATATATTAACAAGAACAAAAATTACAAATGATGTCAATCCATTAATTGAATTACCAAATTTATTAGTGGAACCTTACAAAAAATTTATTACCATAATAAAAATTGAAAATATGACTTTACTCCTTGAAATTTAATTTTTTTTTATATAAAGCACACCTCACAATTACATCTTTCCCTTCTCTCCCTCTGTGCCGCCTGCCACCTGCCACCTGCCACCTGCCGCTTGTTCTCTGTGTCCCTTATAATTGTTCAGTAAAATAGGCCTACAACAAGAACATTAATTTGTTAAATTTTACGTATAATTATACAAAAAAATGTATTTAAAACTTATCGTACATTTGAAAATAAAAGTATCGACTTTTGATACGTTTAGATTCTAAATATAACAAGAAACAAAATGTACCAAAAAACCAAATGTAACCATAGTATAAGTAATCAAACCTACCAATATAATCAAATGATCATACAACCAAACGTACATTTACTATGTTTATGTATGTGACAATGAGTTTTGAACATTCTATTTAATTCAATAAAATAAATATTATAATAAATAATAAAAAAAAATCTAAAATTGCCACAATGAGAGATGCATATAACTAAAAAAATGCATAGGTAAACGAATAATAGGACAAGAAAAAGGAAAATGAAAGTATAACAAGAATTTTTTTTAACGTGGTAGCATACAATTTCATGAAAAATTGTATATAAAAATAAAGTGTAAAACTGAACCTCTAATAAAATGAAATTAGTCACTAAATTTGTAAGAAAAATGTTTAATCAAACTCTTAAAAGAAACATATGTTTAATCAACGAAATTGAAAAACGAGGCGTCTATATCAAATCACTCATATTTGTTCTAACAAAAACACAATGACTAGGCTCAAACTAAGCAAATTCATTAATTAAGTTTGACTTCATCCAATATGTATTTTCGGATGCTGGCTAAAATGCCCCTAATGACATTTTGACCTTCAGTTTATAACTTAGAATCTACATTTGTTATACAACTTATTCAGAAAATATATGATTTTTAGACAAGTATAAAACTAAACAGTGAGGCCATTTAGTACACTACGGTATAGTGGTATTCATCTTTACTTGTAAGTAAGAGATTTTAGGTTTAATTCTCGTAAAGGTGAATTTGAACCACATTATTGTTAGCTTATTGTGAGGTTAAGCTCACCTCCTCCCTTAGTATATATAATATGTTCAAAAAAAAAAAAGAAAAAAAAACTAAACGGTGACGAAAACCATGGGTCAATAATTTTGTAATAATGAGCCATTTATTTTCATAATTAGGGTGAGTAATTAGATTTGTTTGACATAATTAGGGTTATGTTACGTAAGCTGTAAAAAAATTTGTAATAATAGGTCACTTATTTGTCTACATGGCATCTTAATGATTTGGGTTTTATTTGAATGATTTAATAAGAGTGGGCTTATGCTAAAGAAAAAAGAGTGGTAAGAGCCTATCTCTAAGTAACTTAAATAAAAAATAGAAACAGCAGAAATTTCAATCTAAAATTTGTATGCAGTTGGTAGGAGAAATTCCCGTGCAGGATGATCCAGCTTTGATGCAGCATCCAGAGATTGGCTAAAGAAATAAGAGTGGTAAGAGCCTATCTCTAAATAACTTAAATAAAAAAATAAAAACAGCAGAAATTTCAATCTAAAATTTGTACGCAGTTGGTAGGAGAAACTCACCTGCAGAATGATCCAGCTTTGATGCAGCATCCAAAGATTGTGTTATATGTTGTTGGAACCTTACATACACACGCACAAAATACAGCATCCAGAGATTGTGTTATATGTTATTGGAACCTTACACACACACACACACACACACACACACAAAGCAGCATCCAGAGATTGTGTTATATGTTATTGAAACCTTACACACACACACACACACACACACACACACACACACACACACACACACACACACACACAGATATATTCCGAATGGAATTAATTAAGCAACTTTAGGAATTAGACATTTATACTTACCTTGCTCAAGTCTATTTCCTTTGCTTTATTCTATTGCTAATTTGTCCGACTATATGTGTTGAGAATAAATTCTATATGGGAGACTTTGGATGCAGTCCCTAGTTATGAACAGTCTTTGACTGAAACCTTGTTGGTTTTCAATTTTTGATCCAAGTCCCTGAAATTAATTGATAATTTATTTCTATGTACGTTACTATATTTTTTAAATTAAAAATTAAAATTTATGGTTGTTTATAGTAATGAGATTTTAAATAAAAAACCATAATTTGTGGGATTAAAAATATTAAAATATAAATATACTATTGTGTGTGTGTGTGTGTGTGTGTAAACATGGGTACATTCATAAAAAATAACCAAAAAATTATTGTATCAAAACATGGGTACATTCTTCAAAATGGGTACATTTAGCAAAAATAAAAATGGGTACAAATAAATAAAAAAATATGGGTACAATACAAATAAAACTTTAAAAAATATGGGCACAAAAAGAAATTAATATATGGGTACAAATTAAAACTGAAAGGAAAATTGGTACAAATTAAAAAAGGGTTGCAAATTAAAAATGGGTACAAACTAAAAATAAAAATATATGATAAAAAAT